GATTATTTTGTTGAATGCCTTGTGGGTGAGGGGGGGACTTGGGGTGTAGGTGGGGTGGTTTTTGATTGTGTTTTGCATGCTTGGGGTGTGGTTGGTGGAGCTCCTAGTTGCCGAGAAGTGAGCGGCCATGGCGTTAGCCTTTTCTTTCTCTGTATTTAAGTTTGGAAAGGTGGGGAAAGAGTGAGATTTTGAGTTACCTTTTATTGCTTTAAGTTTTTTCCATAAAATTTTGGTGTTTTGTTTCCCCATTTTCAAGGTACTTGTAAATTGTTCCCAATGGTTTCTTTTGGCCGCTCTTATTAGTTGCTTAGTAGAATTTCTGAGGGCTTTGGCTAAGGGGATTTTAGTTTTATCCCGCTTTGCCTTGTTGAGTGCTTTTTTTCTTAACCTTCTAGAATTTTGAATCTCAGAGCTCCACCATGGGACAGGTGTGTGGTTGGGAGATGTATTTATAGTGGGTATGCATTGGATTGCTATTTTGTGTACTGTGTTTGTAAAGTTGGTGTTGAATGTGTCATTGTCACGATTGTGAATGTTTTGGATGTCTATTTGGTTGCACAGAGTGTTGAATTTAGTCCAGTCTGCTTTTTTTAAGTTAAATTTGAGTTGCTGGGGGGGGGGGGGGGTCTGAAGGGGGGGGTCTGAAGGGGGGTGGGGGGGTGAAATAGTGCTGGGGGAGGTTATGGTTGAAGAGATTTTGATGGGGAGGTGATCGGTACCCCAGGTGTCTGTGTGGACCTCCCAATTTAATTTAGATTGGAGGTGTGCTGTGCTTATAGAAAGGTCAATGGTCAATGGCGGTGGGAGATTGGAGGGGGTTGAGTGGGATTATAGTTGGTTGATTATTGTTAAGAGAGATTTATCAGTGTATTCTTTTGTGCCCCACAGTGGGTGGTGGGCGTTGAAATCACCAAGAAAGAGTGTATTTTGATCAATAAATTTTGTTAATACGTCTAGATCCTCAACTGCTAGGGGCTTTGTTCTAGAATGATAAACGTTTATAATAGTAATATTAGTTTTGTTGATGGTAGTTTTAATAGCCAGGCATTCAAGGTTTGGGGTGGGGATTTCAATTATATCGTAGTTGAGGTCTTCTTTGATGAAGATGCCCAGCCCTCCATGAGGTGGGCCTGGGAGATTTAATGGACGTGGTCTATCCTTCCAAATGAAAACATAGCCTGGAATTTTGAAGGCTTTTTTGAGTGAGATTTTCTTGGATTGCAATTACTAATGGTTTAATTTTGCCAAGGGCTATGAGTGCCTTGAGCTCATGCCCATTGGAGGTGATTCCATTACTATTCCACTGTAAGAACACCATTATCGGGTTTTAGAATGGGGGGGCATTTGTGTCTGAATAAAATGGTGTTCTGGGGCTAATTTTGAAGAAGTGAGTGGAGACTGGGTTTATTTGAGAGCTCTGATAGCTGATTGAAAATTTTGGAAGGTTTTTTGGTAAAGGGTGGAAAGGAGGGCCAGGGAGTGGAGTTTCTTGGGGGTAGGGTTTTTGAGTAGGATGGCTGCAGATAGGAATTCAATAAGTTTGTTAATGTTGTGGTGAAGATTTTTGGGTGTGACTGCTTGTATAGGGGTTGTCTTGAGTAGTTGAAGTTTGTGATTGAGTAGCTGTTTTCTTGTGGTGTTTATTTTGTAGTTTATATGTCTGTTTTTGGCTTGTTGGTTGGAGGGGACAGGGATGGCTGATTTGGCTGGTTGGGGGTCTTGTGGTTGGGGGGAGGAGGGTTGGGATGGGAGGGGGAGAGAGAGTAGGGGGGTGGGTACGGGTAAGGTAGGGGTGGGGGTGGGCTGGATTTGGGCGGGTAGGAAGGTGGGAGGAGGGGGGTGAGTAGCAGGGGTGGGTAACAGAGCCCTAGTAGGGAATTGGTCCATGGGGGGCCTGGGTGGGGGGTTTTGGAGGGTAGGGGTGGGCAGAGACATTTGGATGGGGTGGGAAGTAGTGGGGCCGACGGGTAGGGGTAGACCGGGGTGGGGGTGGAGAAGAGTTGTTTACGTTTGGTTTTGGGTTGGGCAGGTTGGGGGGGGGGGGGGGGGGGGAGGGGGTTGGGATAGGGAGCTGGCCATGGAATCTGACGAGGTGTTTAGGTCAAAGTAGTCGGGGATGTTGTTTTGGGGGATGGCTGCAGGTTTGGGTAAGTGTTCTTTGGTGATATGTTTGTTGAGTTTCAGTATGTGGGTTTGTTTGATAGGACAGGTGTTTTGTGTTGCTGTGTGGCCTTCCACCTTGCATTGGATGCAGTATGGGGCCCATGTGCATTCTGTGGCTTCGTGGCGGTACGAGCCACATTTTTGGCACATGGGTGGCTCACGACAGGTGGATGTGGGGTGGTTGAAAGAATGGCATATGTTGCATTGTTGTGGGTTTTTCCTAACAGGGTGAACTTTGTATGTAAGTGTGCCAAAGATAATGTGGGTGGGTAGGTTGGTAGTTTTGAAGGTGATAAAGACTGTTTGTGTGGTTGTCCTGCCCGGTATAGGTGTGCGATTGTTGATATTCTTGAAGTTGACAATTTTTGGTTGTGTGTGAATTTTGTTTGCCATATGGATGTAGTCTTGTATGTCTTGTTGTGTGTCTCTGTGATCTATGTGTATGACTCCTTGTATTTCTGTAAACTACTTGGGCACCTGCCATGTAATGTTGAGTCCGTCGATGCTGGGGTTTTAACTTGCGTGTATGAGTGATTCTTGTGTTGGGAGTGTAAGTTTGAAACCTCTGCCACATCTGTTTATGTATTTATAGGTGATGTCAGCTTTGTGTAAGCAGAGGGCGAATTTGTTTGTGGAGTATGTGTCGTTGAGGGGTGTGGATGTGGTTGAGAATGCTAGGAGGATATGTTTTGGGGGGTGGATGATTCCGGAGGTGTTTGTTGTGAGCAGGTTTTCTTTTGGGTAGTTTGAGACTCCAGGGGTGAGTGGGAGGGGCGCTTTGTTTGTTTTGGGGATGGTGGTTTTTTAGCAGTTGTGTTGTGTGGGGGGACGATTGGATGGGGGTGATGCTGGATGACTATGTGTGGTTCGATATGGGTTGGAGTTGGAGATTGGATTGTGTGGTTTGGATGGGGGGTGGGGGGTGGGGTGGGGTGGGGGGGGGGGGGGGGGGGTAGGGGGGGGGAAGAATGAGCTCCTCCAGGTCTAGGCCAAAATCAAGGGGAATTGGGTTGGAGATGTTGGTGGGTGTTAGACCTGTGTTTGTTGCTATGGATGGGAGTGGTGAAAAGCGAGGTGGATTGTGGTGATGTTTGTGTCGGGGAGGACATGGTGTTGTTTGGTGAGGGGATGGGGGGAAGGGAGTGGAATGTAGTACAATATTGGTAACACAAATGTACAAGCAAACAATAAACAAGAAAACTTTGGGGGTAAATAAGCATGCAAGTAAGAGGGTGAAGGGGAAAGGATTGAATACTTAGCAGCGATTAGGAGAGATGGATAGACGTGGCTAGTAGACTTGTAGTCTCTTGGCCATACGGCCGATGGGCCGTGTATCGGTGTCTGAGCAGAGGTGGATGTCCTCTGAGTTCGATATCCCACAGAGTATGGATGATCTGTTCGTAATCCCAGATTAGGTTTAGTTTAACTTGGTTAGATTGACCGAGCGAAAATGGCGACCGGTCATACCGGAAGTAAACAAAGCTATGACGACGACGACGATATCGCTTCACTTTAACTACTGCTTTTTATAGTATGGCATTTATTGCCCTAATTGATCATCCCATGAACTGTGTTTGTTAATCACGCCCACATGTCCAATGTCCAAAGCAACGTCGTTGTCTCTTTGTCTGTCCATTGTTGTCCATTACTATATATGTGCTACCATTACACAGTTACTACGGTGTTAGTTAGGCTTGGTATTCCGAGTGCTGGCATAGGGACGACCTCGAGCAGGATGTGCTGCTCGTAGGAAACGCCCTGAGGTGAGCTGGAGCTCCGCTCACCTCTTGTACGCCTGAGCTGGAAAGTCCGCTCATGGCTGTGTTTGTGTTGTCAGAGCAGGTATTCCGCTCATTGTGCAATTGTTGTTTATTGTTTACATGTTGTGCATAAAGCGTTCCGGGACAGTGATGTCGATTTTGTCCTTTATTCTCTCAAGAGCTAATTCCCTGTCAACATACACGTTGACAACTGCAAGAGTTAAGACAAATCCAAGAGTCTTTATGACTACGGTCCCTGGTCGCCATGGGATGATCCCGAGATATCACTGCATTCACTCTACGATCACTTGGGATTATGTATATTCATACATTATATATATTCTCTTCACATTTCAGGCATTATACATATTCCATGATTAGACATATTATTCCCTGATTACACATATTCCCTAGTTATACAAATTTCATGATTATACATGTTCCCTAGTTAGACATATTTCCTGATCATACATATACCCTAGTTTGACATATTCCATGATTAGGCACATTCCTTGGTAAGACATATTCCCTAGTCATATATATTCCCTAGTTATACATATTCCCTGATTGTACATATTCCCTAGTTAGGCATATTCCCAAGTTATACATATTTCCTAGTTATACAGAATAGGTCTTCAGCAACCAACACTTGCCGTAAAAGGCGACTATGCTTGTCGTAAAAGGCGACTAACGGGATCGGGTGGTCAGGCTCGCTGACTTTGTTGATACATGTCATTTATCCCAACTGCGTGGATCGATGCTCATGCTGTCAATCACTGGATTGTCTAGTCCAGACTCTATTATTTACAGACCGCCGTCACATAGCTGGAATATTGCTGAGTGCGGCGTTAAACAACAAACAAACAAACAAACATATCCCCTAGTTATACATATTCCCTGATTATAATATTCCCTTGTTATACACATTCTCTGATTATACATATTCCCTAGTTATACATATTTCCTAGTTATACATATTCCTTGATGACATTTAGAGCCTTGTTATACATATTCCCTGGTTAGACACATTCCCTGGTTGGACAATTATTCTGTAAGGTAACACTATAACAAACCTACACTGTTAGCTTCCAGGTGCTGCATTCCCCGAGCTGTATGCAAAGCAAAGGACAGTAGATCCTTGGCGGTCAGCTCCTCGTCATCTTCACCTTTGACCATTTCCGCTACCGCTAGGGGGCTCTCCTGCACACTGAGGGGACTCTCCGATGTCTTGTCATGGGCAGGGCGGCGTCTGCGCAGGTAGCAGGAATATACTGCAAGATCAGAAAGAGGCTCTGTAACGCCAGAGAACGTTCACGTTTATATTGACTTGTTATACCACCATACACACACCCTCCACAAATAAAACAGTGGCGAAGATTGATGCTCATGATGTCAATCACTGGATTGTCTGGTCCAGACTCGATTATTTGCACATCTCCGTCATATAGCTGAAATATTGCTGAGCGCGGCGTTAAACAACAAACAAACAAACAAACAAACGTTCACAAAGATATTAATTTATTAACAGAATCCAATGGACGTAAAAGACCAACTTATATGAACAGATCACTTAAATTCAGCGATGACATAAGGACAGTGGTGTTGGCAAAAAAGGGTAAGCATGTCTTGATCTACCAGTAGCACCTGCTTGAACACTTAAGTCTTTGTTTGTTGCCTATGGCCGCACAACAGTCCCCCTGCCATGTCGCGGCCTTCAAACGATCGATTCTTGACCAGACAATATAGCAACATGACGGCGCGCTTTCACTGTGACTGACTTTACGAGGTAGTTGTTACCAGACCTTTCTTAGCCATGATGATGATGATGATTTTATTACAAAAGATGTTACTGTAGAGCTACTTGACCATACATGCGAGCACTTTGTTGCCTGTACCCCCTGGGCGCTCTAATCTCACATAAATTATTGCACAATACAGGCAAGTACGGAACCTTTTAGCAGCGTTAGAAATTGGCACAAGTCATGTAGTCCTTGCCAAAATGCCCAATAGTTGAGGTATCAGGGTTTTGCCATAAGGGCCAGTGGACTAAAACTGTAAGTTTCTAGCCCTGTTTTTAGGGCCATTTGTTGTTTTTTTCGTTTTTTCTTGAAATTTCAAGATAATAAGTTGAAATTTCAAGATAAATAATAAGTTGAAATTTCAAGATACTAAGTTGGAATTTCAAGCTGCTACGTTAAAATTTCAAGATGCTCCTTTGAAATTTCAAGATAATAACTTGAATTTTCAAGATACATACTCAGTTGAAATTTCAATATAATCACTTAGTATCTTGAAATTTCAACTTAGTATGTTGAAATTTTACGATAGTATCGAAACAAATAAAAAGCAAATTGCCCTAAAAGGCTTCCGTAGGCAAAAATAAAGTCGAAATTAAATCTATCTCGGTATCATCTCTTGTTTTCCCATTAACGCGTGGAACACAGGGCTATGTGATATCAGTCAACTGATTATAATTTCTATTAGTCAAGTGAACGGCCTGTGTTGACATCAAATGAGAATGTTGTTTCTGGCCTGATGAATATGGCGGGTCTTCAAACAAGCTTCAGAATAACTACTATCAATTGCGCTTACAACTTCTAACTTCCACCAGTTAGAATATCTAACATGCACAGTGATTTATACTACACATTGCAGTCTACAGTGCTGGGGAGGCTTTTCATACGTACAACGCACCGCCCACGCACATTTGATATACCTCGAGTAGAATACAGTAAAAGTGTAAGGATTGATTTTGTAACATGAAACGATTGACGTTCGCTCACATTTTGCCACTACCTGACAATGTGAACATGTTTTTTCCAGACGATTTGCATATGTCTGACTGTTTCTGTGTCGAAGGTATAGATATACTTGTTTGGTAAATGGCAGTGCTTTCTTCTTAAAGCGCTATTGTGTCACTGCGTTGTCTGGTCCGTAACGTGATTGTGTGGGTTGTTAACAGGCCACCGTCGCATGGCAGGGGCGCTACTGTGCGGCGTCAGGCCACTAACAAACACTTACTTCGAATTCTATATTCAAACTGTGAGTGAGTGAGTATGGTTTTACGCCACTTTTAGCAATATTCCAGCAATATCACGGCGGGGAACACCAGAAATGTGCTTCTCACATTGTACCCATGTCGGGAATCGAACCCTGGTCTTCGGCGTGACGAGCGAACGCTTTAACCACTAGGCTACCCGACCGCCCCTCAAACTGTGTGAGTGGTGGGTTTTACCGGGGGGTAGGACAAGCTAACACCTGATTATGGGTCTTTCGTCTCATGCAGTCATCGACACCTTTGTGTGGTATCCGTCAAAACACACCTACATAAATGACGTATCACTTGAAACAAGAAAAATGTTAGATTAATGTTTGTTTGTTGTTTAACACCGTACTCAGCAATATTTTAGCTATATGAAGGCCTGTAAATAATCGAATCTGGACCAGACAATCTAGTGATTGACATCATCAGCATCGGTCTACGCAATTGGTATACGATGACATGCATCAACCAAGTCAGCGAGCCTGACCACCCGATGCTGTTAGTCGCCTCTTACGACAAGCATAGTCGCCTTTTACAACAAGCATAGGTTGCAAAAGACCTATTCTAACCCGGATCTCACTTGAAAATATAAACGTCAACACCAAAGTGACATTAGTATCGATGTTTATTTACTGAATCCAATGGGCGTAAAAGGCCGACTTATATGAACAGATCACTCAAATTCAGCTATGACACCAGATGTACTTTTTTCTAAAAAATTTAAAGATAATAAGTTGAAATTTCAAGATACATACTAAGTTGAAATTTCAAGATACTTAATTGCAATTTCAAGTTGCTACGTTGAAATCTCAAGATACTAACTTGAAATTTCAAGATAATAACTTGAATTTTCAAGATACCTACTCTATTTGAATTTTCAATATAATCACTTAGTATCTTAAAATTTCAACTTAGTATCTTGAAATTTCAACTTAGTATCTTGAAATTTCAAGATAGTATCGAAAAATAGAAAAAGAAAATGGCCCTAAAAGGCTTCCGTAGGCAAAAATAAAATCGAAATTAAATCTATTTCGGTATGATCTTTTGACGTTGTCTAGATATTCTTTTTATTTCGAGAATAGGTTTGACACGCAAACACACGCACAAACAAGCAGACGCACGCACACGCACATACATCCACTCACAGATTTCACATCAGTCTTGGCAACTAATAATTGTCGAAGTACAATGGACCGCCTCCATGGTCTAGTGGTAGAGCGTCCGAGCGGAAGGTCCGGGGTTCGAACCCCGGCCACGTCATACCAAAAGTCGTTAAAAGATGGTACTTGTTGTTACCCTGTCAGTCGCTCGTCATTTAGGGGCTTAAACAAGGACTGGTCGGCTCGGAGTCAGTATACTGTGTCTGAGTGGGGTATTCCTGTTAAACTGCGGCATGGTATCTCAGTGTGCTAGCACTATAAATCGGCATCAAGCAGACACACAAACACACACACGTACATGCACGTCGCTATATAAGTGCAATAATCTTGGACGCGACGTTAAACCCCCATTTCACCTCACCTCACCAAGTGCAATGCAATGAACTTCTACTGACTTTCAACAGAAACAATTTAATACAGTTACAATGATGTTAACAATACATTATACTGCCCTATAACGTAATGTAGCATATAGAGCGACAGCAGTCACCTCGAGATAGACAAAGAATCGCGTCAACTAAAAGATCGTGTTCCTTGTCCTCGTCCGCCGTGTTGGTTAAATCGATCTTTCTCCTTTATGGTTCAAGTTGTCTCTGTTCAACAGCTGTGACCCGTGTCATTGATTTAAGTGATAGCTGACGTTGTAAGTTTACACGACTGATAATTTCTTCATCCAGTTTGTGTTGCTTTCCTCATACACGAAGAACCGAACAGCTTTATCGGAGTCATATACCCTTTCAACATTGAACATTAAGAACTTTGTGTCTTAAGGGTGCGTTTTGGAATTTTTAGAATGCGTTGGTTCAGCGGATGCTACGGGAATCGTAAAGCATGCATCACCAGAACTGTGCTGTTCCTTGGCTGTGCGTGTCTTTACTTCACGTTTGGAAAGCATCACATACAGGTAAGACATACCATGGGCTCATTGTGGACCTTTTATAAAAATTGTATTATTAAAAAAAAGTATTTGTTCATAATCGTAAGATCACTTGGAGAGTGATCACTTACTGTCTATGCTTCTTTCACAAAATAAACCTAAATAACTTATGTCTTTTGCTACTTAAGGATATTTAGGTTTTTTAACGTGAAGTTGACTCGATATTCGGCTTTTGCATTGGACGAGAGTTGGTCACATGAAAGCGAGATTGAAGTTAATACGTATATTGACAACACAATTTGGCGTTCATACGTTTATCACGAGACCGTGGTAAATGACTTAAACACTGACACACTACTTACACATTCCTGAAGGGATGCCTAGGAATTCCCCAGCACGAATAGATATAAACACGTTGTTTCTGATCATTTCGACTCTATAATATTGAACTCAGAGTGAGATTGTATTAACGTCGTCGCAAGTTCCGATTTCCATAGTTGGACCATCTCTTTATGAAGGTTCATATTCCAATGAACTCAAACAAAGTGAAAATCAATTCTTAAATCTCTTTGACACATCAGTATACTCCCCTTTCCAAGATGGTCCAATTCATCAACGATGACTGATAAATGTTACCGCCATAGGTCCACAAAGAACGTCACGTGTCGGCCATTTTAACGCCTCGCACTTCATGTACACATACGTCATAAATCACAAAGAACAATCAAGATCGAAGTGTGGTTTATTTCACGATAACACATTGTTCTGTCACGACATCATTTTTGGAGGTTTAAACATGCGCTCGAAAAATGATGACGTCGTATATTGGACGACGTTAGTTTTGAGCGGGAAATGTCTCATGAGTTGTTCCCATAGATGTAGCTGGGCTACGCACATAAACGAGAATCGGTATTTGGAGAAATGGTACAGATAATCGACGTGAAAATATGCGGAAAATATAAATCTTAACCCTCCTGTTGATTCTAATTCAGGGAGTCATCCTTTTTAAAATTACCATAAATATTTTTTTATAGCTTGTGCATTTTAATTTAACGCACACACAGTGAAAGTCAATTCTTAAGTCATATTTACTACTTTTTAGCGGCTTTCCATGTCCAACTGTCCGTCTGTCCTCGCATTCGCCCTCGTCTCGCCTCGACCTTATATACACTACTGCCTAGAAGTTCATTCCCCTTACACGCATGGGCACCGCGTTACGCAACCCGTATCCGACTCGTTGGTCACTCGTGCGGAACCCGTCCGCCACGCGTGTGATACCCGTGTGCAACGCGTTGAACACGGGTTTTCGCCCCGTTCGTCACTCGTGTGCAACGCCTGACACACTTATTAGAGGGGGAACTAACTTTTGACCAACGGAGGACCCATGTTAAGCTGAACTTGGTGGTGGTAACAAGGAGAGACATTTTTTTATATCCTGACGAAAAATGCTAATATACATGTTATTTTTTGTACTTGCTGATGTCTCATTTTTATATGTGTGATTTTGTAGGAAAACATGAGTACTGGTGTGGCTTCTACATGATGTTTTGCGATGGTGTCAAGAGAATACACGATCCTAGTAAATGTTATTGCCATTCAAACGGTTTTTTTCTGATCTGACATTAAATGTCTGTAGTACGCCTTTCAGTGATTATGTTTATGAGGCTTGGCGGGGCATTGTTTTTATTGGACCCTAATTACTTTATGACGGTTGGGTCTCTTTGTCTCAGCTCCA